TCAGGAAGGATAATACCAAGTATATTGTCTCCAGATACTGAACATACTACATGCTGAACTCATTGTTTCGCAATCACATGATCCTAATTAATATGCTCAATTTAAAATTGAATCCCGTTCAATACATCATACATACATGATGTAGTAGTATAGTTTATCAATCAAGACCAACCGAGCTGAATTATACTATAATTGTTCACGATAGTTTGTTTATTTTCATCTACGCCGTAAACTTTTTATTTTATGTTTTACAAGTAACTACTAATATGATCTTCTTTCTATTCTTGATGAACTATAATTATCTAAATGTAAAACATCATAACATAAAAGTTTAATTATACAAGATTCTCATTAAAAGAAATAAAGTGTAAATAACTCATAATGTGTATGATTCCCATTCAAAGAAATAAAGTATAAATAATTCATAAAATCAAGCTTTCAATATATACAATACTAAAGTTCATATTTTTCATGTTTAATAAAATAATTATAATAAACAAAGAATTCATGTGAAAAAAAATAATTATATCACCAATGCATCGGAACGTGAACCTTATTGGTTTATAAAAAAGGGGCGAGANAAGAAAAAAAAAAAAAAAATAGAGAGAAAAAAGCAACTCTACGTACCAACATCTTTTAGCTCAGTCTTAATCGGAAACGTGTGTCATGAACAATACTTTCAGTTATTATATTTTTGCACCTGATCAGTTTGATATATTTAGAACACTTGTAACAATGGTAGCCATAAATTAAAGGAGCAAAACAGAAAAAAAAATGTAATGGCCAAACACAAACAAATGATGGTCCCAGTTTTGTTCATCCATTCCTCCCCAACATTCGGAGCACAAATAAAACAAAAGGCAACTCCCCATCCTTTATTGCTCTCTTTTCTCATCATCACCATAATCAATACTATTTGCTGGATTGATGATGGAAAGAGAACAAATTAAGCGATCATCATAAATTACTAATAATCATCATGGAAACACACACATAACTTGGTGTTGGATTTGAGTTTAATTGGATTGCAACACAATACATTCATACAAAGATGGCGAGCCTTTCGAGCCAGCCATCGAAGAAGGCTATGCGAACACCCGCAGGGAGTTCTTCCGGTGGCGGACATGAAAAAAAAGGATCGACCGGCCAAACGGTGAAATTCGCTAGACGAACATCTAGCGGGAGATATGTGAGCCTATCAAGGGAGGATTTGGACATGTCAGGGGAATTTTCCGGTGACTACACGAACTACACGGTTCACATACCTCCGACCCCTGACAACCAGCCCATGGACACATCGGTGGCTGCTAAAGCCGAGGAACAGTACGTGTCGAATTCTCTCTTCACGGGAGGGTTCAATAGCGTCACGCGAGCCCATCTCATGGATAAAGTGATCGAGTCTCAAGTCAGCCATCCTCAGATGGCGGGATCCAAGGGCTCGTCGTGCTCCATGCCCGCTTGTGACGGAAAAATCATGAAGGACGAGAGAGGAAACGATGTTATCCCTTGCGAATGCAGGTGAGTGAGCCTCTCTAATTGATTACGTACAAGGATATTGGAACCAAATAGTGTAGCTAGCTTAGCTAGTCAGTAGTTAAGAATAAAAAAGTAAAAAAGGAAATGACTATATTATCTACACTAATCAGGCTAATAATAATCACGAAATGATTTTGTGATGGGACTGTAGAAAAAAATATATATATCAAATGATGGCTGTTTTTTTTCCTTTATCTACAGGTTCAAAATCTGCAGAGATTGCTACATGGACGCGCAGAAGGACACGGGCATGTGCCCGGGATGCAAGGAGCCCTACAGAGTAGGTGACTTTGACGATGAAGTGCCGAACTACTCCAGCGGAGCCCTATCCCTCCCCGGCCTAGACGACTCCAAGCGGGGAAACAACAACAACCACAACCACAACATGTCGATGATGAAAAGGAACCAAAACGGGGAGCAATTCGACCACAACAAATGGCTGTTCGAGACTCAAGGCACGTACGGCTACGGCAACGCGTACGGAGGAGATGGGTACGGAGACGAGCACGGCATGGTGGACACGAACTGCGACAAACCCTGGCGGCCCCTTAGCCGCGTGATCAACATCCCCAACAGCATCATCAGCCCTTACAGGCTCCTCATCTTCCTCCGCCTCGTCATCCTCTGCTTCTTCCTCACGTGGAGGCTGAGGCATCCCAACACCGAGGCCGTGTGGCTCTGGCTAATGTCGGTCGTTTGCGAGATATGGTTCGCCTTCTCTTGGATCCTCGACCAGCTCCCCAAGGTTCACCCGGTCAACCGGACCACCGATTTAGACGTTCTGCGCGACAAATTCGAGATGCCGTCGCCTTCGAATCCGAGCGGCCGATCCGACCTTCCTGGGGTCGATTTGTTCGTTTCGACGGCCGATCCGGAGAAAGAACCGCCTCTCGTGACGGCCAACACTATACTATCGATCCTGGCCGTCGATTATCCGGTCGAGAAGCTGGCTTGCTATGTCTCGGATGATGGCGGAGCGCTACTCACGTTCGAGGCCATGGCTGAGGCTGCTAGCTTCGCAGACTTATGGGTGCCCTTTTGTAGGAAGCACGATATCGAGCCGCGTAACCCTGAGTCGTACTTTACTCTAAAAGGGGACCCTACGAAGAACAAGAGCCGGCTCGACTTTGTGAAGGATAGGCGGAGGGTGAAGAGGGAGTATGACGAGTTTAAGGTGAGGATCAATGGGTTGCCCGATTCAATTAGGAGGAGGTCTGAGGCTTTTAATGCTAGGGAGGAGATGAAAATGCTAAAGCACATGAGGGAAAGCGGGGCCGACACTTTGGAGCCGATTAAGGTCCAGAAGGCCACGTGGATGGCTGATGGAACTCATTGGCCCGGGACTTGGGCAGTTCCCTCACGTGAGCACGCCAAAGGCGATCACGCAGGAATTCTCCAGGTTACATTTAACCATGCACCTTGAATTATTTGTGGGAGGATTTCAAATTTCAAAATATTTCAAAATCAAACTGTATCTATATATGTGTTTAGGTAATGCTGAAGCCTCCTAGTAGTGACCCGCTAATCGGAAGTTCGGATGACAAGCTTCTAGATTTTACTGATGTGGACATACGGCTGCCGATGTTTGTGTATGTATCTCGTGAAAAACGTCCGGGATATGACCATAACAAGAAAGCCGGTGCCATGAATGCTCTTGTGCGAGCATCGGCCGTGCTGTCCAATGGGCCTTTCATACTCAATCTCGATTGCGATCATTACATCTATAACTGCAAGGCTATTCGAGAAGGGATGTGCTTTATGATGGATAGAGGTGGAGAGGACATATGCTACATTCAGTTTCCTCAGAGATTCGAAGGCATCGATCCATCCGATCGCTATGCCAATCACAATACTGTTTTCTTTGATGGCAACATGCGTGCGCTCGATGGCCTCCAGGTCTGTGTGTACATATGTATAAACAATTTCAAGCATCATTTAATTGAATGATGATTGACTCAAAAAATAAATAAATTTACGGGGGTGACTATATAGTATATATATTTCAAGCACGATTTAATTGAATGATTGGACTGTCATAAATAAATTTAGAAAGCAGTTTTGTTATGGAGCCATTGGATGGCTCGACTTATGGAGTCATCCACACTTATTCACAAATAGTGTATTCGTGTCATACAATAATTATATTTTGGACATGTATCAATACATTAAGTGATGGATGACTCTATAAGAAAACCATCTGATTACTCCATAGAATTGCTATTAAAGACTAATAATAACTACGAAATCATTTCGTGACTGGACTGTAGTATTCTCTAAACTTACTAGTCTGTTTTTTTTTTTTTTCCATTTTTGGTACGTAGGGCCCAGTGTACGTTGGGACGGGTTGCATGTTCCGTAGATTCGCTCTTTACGGGTTCGACCCTCCGAAAGTCGACAACATCTCGGAAAAGAATTCAGAGACTCAAGCTCTAAAAACGAGCGACTTCGACCCCGATCTCGACGTCAACTTGCTACCCAAGCGATTCGGCAACTCGACCCTCCTCTCCGAGTCCATCCCCGTGGCCGAGTTCCAGGGGCGCCCGATCGCCGACCACCCGGCAGTCAAATACGGTCGCCCCCTTGGAATCCTGCGGGCCCCACGAGAGCCCCTGGACGCGACCACCGTAGCAGAAGCCGTGTCCGTAATATCGTGTTGGTACGAAGACAAAACTGAATGGGGAGATCGTGTCGGGTGGATCTACGGGTCGGTTACGGAGGATGTGGTGACGGGCTACAGAATGCACAATCGCGGCTGGCGCTCGGTTTACTGCGTGACGAAGCGCGACTCTTTCCGCGGCTCGGCTCCGATCAACTTGACCGATCGGCTCCACCAAGTTCTGCGGTGGGCCACGGGCTCGGTCGAGATCTTCTTCTCGAGGAACAACGCGCTACTTGCGTCCAAGCGTCTTAAAATCCTCCAACGCCTCGCGTACCTCAATGTGGGAGTTTACCCTTTTACGTCGATGTTTCTCATCGTCTATTGCTTCCTTCCCGCGCTCTCTCTTCTCTCGGGCCACTTTATTGTGCAAACCCTCGACGTGACCTTCCTAGGGCTCCTTCTCACTATGTCGGTTTGCCTCGTGGCTTTGGCTATCTTAGAGGTGAAGTGGTCCGGGGTTGGGCTTGAGGAGTGGTGGAGGAACGAGCAGTTCTGGCTGATCTCAGGGACGAGCGCCCACCTGGCGGCGGTTGTTCAGGGTTTACTCAAAGTGATTGCCGGGATTGAGATCTCGTTCACGCTAACTTCCAAATCGGCTGCGGAGGACGATGAAGACATTTACGCGGATCTCTACCTTGTGAAGTGGACTTCGTTAATGATACCGCCTATAGTTATCGGGATGGTGAATATTATAGCTATGGTGGTGGCATTCTCGCGGACGGTGTACGAGACGGTGCCGCAGTGGAGCAAGTTTATTGGTGGGGCGTTTTTTAGTTTCTGGGTGCTTGCGCATCTTTACCCTTTTGCTAAGGGTCTTATGGGGAGGAGAGGGAAGACGCCCACTATTGTTTTTGTATGGTCGGGTCTCATTGCCATTACTCTATCCTTGCTGTGGGTCGCCGTTAACCCCAACAATGGTGAAACAAGGGCTGTCGCCTCTGGCTTTACCTTCCCCTGACCTGACCACACCACTATTTTCTTTTATTATTACTAATTACGGACCAAACTTTTCTTCTTGCTACTTCTCATTTTTGGTAACGGAAACTCGAAAAAAGAAAAAATATTGATTTCGGTGTAATACTACATTCACACCTATTTGTATTTGTGCAATGTGTTGTTAAATAGATTTTTTTTTTTTTTTTAATTAAAGTTAATCACAACCCGGCTATTCGTGTTTCTGCACTTGTGAATTAGTGATGCGTACAAATTTCTTACTTTTCTTTAATTTTAAAGCATGCTATGCGATGCGTGACATAATTATTATTATTATTTTTTTTTTCACATGTTTTATTAAATATAACTATTTTATTAAACATGCAAAATATGAACATATAGCATAATAAAATTTTAAAACGGTTAACTAAGCTTAAAACTCGTTTTTGCACAATAAACTCTATTTCTTTATGAGCATGCATGTGTTCAGCAAGACATTGATCGTGGAAGTGAAGTTTGTTTATATAACAAATATGTGGTTGGATCCAATTAATAAGAGAAATAAAAACTGATGTTTACATTTGTTCGTCCTCAAGCTTTAGTGATATGCACGACATAGTCAGAAATTGTTTGCATCTCAACATATACAAATAGATTGCT